TTTCAAGTCAATTGATTAAAATAAGTTGTTAACGAGAACTCAAAAGTTATTTAAGTCAAACATCTTCCGATAGTTAGATAAAATTATCTCCCCCAATTAAATTACTATATTCCTATGTAAAATAAGTTGGAATAGATTCATTAAGTTTAAACTTTCATAAAAGTTACACACGGCATATAGGTATATTCATATCCTATACACAAACCCAGCAATTCAATCCTAAAAAAAAATTAACCAGACGCATGTCATCATATTTAGATCTATCCCTACAATTCATCTCCCAATTTCATCTAAGGAATCAAATTAATTGTTGGCCACGCAATCATATATTAAACACAAAATATGACAAACTACTTATGTATGATCAATAGAACTAGAAACGAAAGTAGATCAATTTAACTAGACATTAGGTTTTGTTGCAATCTTAATAAGAATTTAATTCATAATGTAATTGAAAAACATAATTCTAAAATTAAACAACACTCTAGAAAATCAAGAAATAAAAGTAAGAAAAAATAATGAAAAGTCTTGATCCGGATAATTTATTGGGCACTCAGTAGTGATGTGTCCATACCCACCACAAATCTCGCAAACGTTTTCAAAATAAGGAGCATTTATTGGGCACTCACTAGTATGTGTCTATACTCACCACAAATCTCGCAAACGTTTTCAAAATAAGGGGCATTTATTGGGCACTCACTAGTGATGTGCCCACACTCATCACAAATCTCACACACATTTTCATAATATGGGGCATTTAATATATTATAAAAAAAAATATAAGACATTACATAAAACACGAGATATTTACAAACTATTTACAAAAGAGACGACATACCTTGGCCTGTGATGAAAATCACGAGACTTACTTATTCCGTCTAAATCACCTTTGAAATCGACGCTTAACCTTCCCCGGCAACGGCACCAAAAATGCTTGATATTTTCCGTTGTAGTCCCTAATCTCCGCACATCACCCTCAAATGTATATATGGCTTATGTGTGAAAGGAGTGTCACTCTCTCTCGAGTTCAATGCAAGCAATGGGGCAACGTAAATGTGGATGTGGATGAATGAAATGAAAAAATATGTCAATGAACAAAATATGAGTGTGAACAAAAAGTGCTCCCCAAGCGCAAGGATTCTTTTGAGTGTTGTGTTTTACTTGGAAAGGTATTCCAATGTCGTCTCCTTAGGGAAGGAAATGAATTATATTGAAGGTGATTTTATTGAAAAAGGAAAAAAATGTAAAATCTTATAGTTGATTTTGGTGAGTTTGTTCTTAATGAAAATGCAAGAAAATAAGTGTTGGCTAATCCAAAGGGTCATTCCAATGGGAATTCCAACTCAGCTTGAAACCTTCCTCCAATGGTGCATAGATGAACGATTGATTCATGGGAAAGAGGTTAGGGTGCTGCCTAGCGTAGAAACCCAAGGACCACTAGATGGGGGTGAGCAGACCGTGGGCAAGCAGATCAAACAGCCTAGCGTGGAGATAGACGAGTAGCCTAGGTGGCTAGGCTAGTTGGCGTCAGCATTGGATTGGCTTAGAAGGGTGCTGAGGAGATAGTCTAGGCTGTTGAAGTGCCTTTGGTGAGCCGAGGGAGGAAATCAGGGAGGCGGGCATAGCTAGGCAAGCCTATTGTGCTCGCTGCTGCACTGGCTGCTCGTGCAGGCGAGGAGGGGGAGGACCTGGACGCCACTGCCCAGGAGTCCCAGGCATTGGGCGTCGAGGCCAAGGCGGCCCAAGTGCTTGGTGCTATGGTCAGGGCGACCCAGGTGTTCGACGAGGTAGGCGAGATGCGCATTTTTGGCGATAACAATTCTAGCCATGTGGTAGATGATCTTACTCCATTAGGTGGCACTTCTCAAAGTTATATTCCTTAAGGCCTCCCTGGAAGTGGCTTGGGCAACCTTTCTCGTCCTCGTAACAAAAATCACTGAGGAAAGGTAGCTCTTGACGATGATGGATCCAAGGTGAATATTATTTCTAGTACGCTCAATACTGATGGTGATATTCTGAGGATTGTTTCTGCTTATAACATTCCTTCAATAGTTCTATGCCGTCGAGTTGAGATGGGTGAGCTTGCTTGTGATGACTCTCCTAGTGAAATTTCCATCTATGAGGAGATGTTTATAGTCGGGCTTAGATTCCTGATACCTTCTTCCATTTGTCATATTCTGCATTATTTTTCATTGGCACCAGGGCAGTTAGCCCCAATAGTTGGAGAGTTATGTTGGGTTTTTTGGCATTGTAGAGGAAGGTGCACCATGAGGATGCCTCTCTTGACAAGCTTTATGAAGTTTATAATCTGAGTGAGACTCCTGCTCCTAACTGAGGCTACTACTATTTTAGTATGAAATGAGGCAAGTTGATTACCAAATTACCCTCCAATTGTCATAGTTGGAAGTCTCATTTCATGTTCGTCGGTGGAGAGTGGGCTTCAGACGCGGATAGGGCTATGGTATCAATAGGATGGGGTGCTCCTAAGAAAGTTGGTATGCCTTATATACTTACCTTCTCTCATCACATTCCTTGTAGGCTGTGTGCTCATCACATTACTTGCAGGTTCTCCTATGCTCTTGAAGGACCAAGAGTGGAAGTTGCAGGCATTAAGGGCTCATCTTGTAAAGGACTTTGGAGCTCTCATGCTCAAAGATGGTGGAGTCAGTGGTTCTCCTTCAGTAGGTGCTAAGGCTGGTGGACCCTCTCTGAGATTCGGTAGTTTTTCTTTAAAGAGAAAGGGTATGTTGTTTCTCTTGTACTTTCTCCCTTTACTTGGTGTTTTTCATCTAGATAACATTTTATTTCCTTTGCAATGGATAGACCAGTGGTTGGGTTCTGCCTCTCTAGTAAGAGCACTTCTCCTCCTAAGGTGGCGACCATGAGCAATACCTCCCAAATGACCTCCCCAGTAGTGCCGTCTGAGGAGAGTTCCCCTTAATTGACCCCTCTAGTGGTGTCTCGAGGGGGGGTCTCCCTTCAAGGGACCCCTCCAGTGGTGCCTCCTCGGTCGGCGACTTCTTCTGTTATGAGTGCAATTCTAGAGACTCCCCTGTCGACCACACCTTTTGCCCCCCGCTCGTCAAATCCTCCTGTGGGAACTTCTACAGGGGCATCGTTTCAGAATGACCCCATGTTGGGTAACCCACGAGTCATCAGGGAACGACTTGAGAAATTTGTGTTTCCACCCGTTGTTAATGAGATTAGTGCTTCGGGCACCGAGGGAATTATCAATACATTTCTAAAAGGCCTGGCTCAGGTAAGGTTTGTTGTTTCCCTTTCTCCAGTCCTTCCCTATGCATTTTTTCATTTCTCTGTCTTTTTATCTTTTTCAGGCTTCAACTGCATCTATATGGTTGCTTTCAAGGGCCCATTTTTACAGCTAGCTAAAGCTTAGTCATGAGGCTGTAAAGAAAAAGCTTCTCACTGCTCAGGGGAGAATTGTCGAGCTCAAAGCTACTGGTAAGGCTTTTCAAGCTAAGCTTGTGGTGACTCATAAGAGGGACGCACTAAGAGAGGCTGAGCTTATAGAGACCCGTGAGAGGACAACTAAACTTGAGACTAAGCTTTTGGCGACCAGTGAGAGGGTCGCACTCAGAGAGGCTAAGCTTGTGGAGACTCACGAGAGGCCCGCGCTCAAAGAGACTGCCTGCTTGAGAGCGGGGGCAGAGGTGACGGCGGCTCATAAGAGAGCTTCTCAGGTTGAGGAGAAGGCTGTCATAACTGAGAGTGATTTCGAGAATGGCCTTGTAAATGCCTTTATTGATGGTTATGAGGAGCTCCGAGGAAAGATTTCTACTGCTTTTCCTAATATTGATGTTTCAGACTTCCTGCCATCTGAGGCGCCTGATGATGGTGATGGAGGATCTGGCGAAGCTGAGGGTGATGAGGAGGAAGAGGAGGAGAAGGAGGACGACGACGACGACGATGACTATGAGAGTAGTTAGAGTGCTGGGGACTTTTTTTTTTAGAAAGACAGGTTATAGCCTTACTTTTGTAAAAGTGGTTTTTTTGCCACTGATGCTCCTTTGAAATTGAATACAAAAATTCAAAGATCTTTTGGAGTAAATCTAGAAAGTTTTATTCATTCACAGCTTATATCAAGCAATATCGGGTAATAGGCCCAAAAAATACAATAAATAAAATCAAGTTCCCTAACTTTATTATTTCTACTCTTTTAAGGTGTCATTGGTAGTATCTCTTCAACTGCTCAGCGTTCCACAGATGGGGTAAGACATTCCCCTTAGAATTCTGGATCTTGTAGGTGTCTAGCCTCACCATTTTTGTTATGACGTAGGGTCCTTCTCAGTTTGGTCCCAACTTTCCTTTTCGTGAATCCTTTGTGGTGAGAATCACCTTCTTGAGGACCAAGTCTCCTAGTTGGAAGGAACAAGGCCTCACCCTTGAGTTGTAGTATTTCGTCATGCGGCACTTGTACTCTGCGTTGCAGACCACAACCATCTCCCTTACTTCCTCTACCAAGTCGAGGTTGATGCAGAGTCCTTCCTCATTGGTGATAGGGTCATGTGTTAGAACTTTAGAGAATGTATTCCGATCTCCACAGGGATGACTGCCTCAGTTCCAAAGGCGAGGAAGAAGGGGTTTCTCCAATAGGAGTTCTTGGAGTGGTTCGGTAGTCCCATAATATGCTTGGGAGTTCGTCAACCCAAAAACCCTTCGCTCTTTTGAGCCTTGTCTTTAGGTTGCGTAATATCATTCTCACCATGACTTGCTAGAATGAGGCTGCTTTATCTGAAGGTTAGAGCAGAAAGAGTTGAGGAGCTTGTTGTCGAATTGCTTAGCATTGTCACTGACAATGGTGTGGGATATCCCGAAGTGGTAGACCAAATTTTTACAAATAAAGTCTTTGACCTTCGTGTCTGTTATCTTTGTCAGTAGTTCGGCCTCTGTCCACTTTGTGAAGTAGTCGACGATGACCACTATGAACTTGTATTATCCTCTGCTCAAGGGTAGGGAGCCTAGGACGTCGATGCCCCATTTGAAAAAAGGCTACAGACTCGTGCTGATTGTCAGCTCCTTTGGTGGCTGCCTGGGCACAGTGGCGAAGCACTGACACTTGTAACACTTCTTGACGAACTCTTGGTCGTCCCTCACCATGCTAGACCAAAAGTAGCCCTGTTTGAGTGCCTTGTAGGTGAGGGAGTGTCCTCTAGAGTGATTCACACAAACCCTTTCGTGGATCTCCCGTAGGGCATAGTGGGCTTCTTCAGGTGAAAGATACCGCATTAATGGCAAGGAATAGCCATTCTTGTACAAGTTTTCTTGTAAGATGGTTGTCACGCCCCGAATTTTTTTCTTCTAAATAAAATAAATAAATAAATACCTAGGCATGATTAAGGAATAAAATCACACCGAACTTACGATAACCTTCCTTATATTATTATATTCCGCGTACGAGTACATAATCCTCACAACATCATTTCAAATATTCTTGATACAACATAAAGAGAAATAATAATAACAGACTCTATTCATCATCCTTTCATCCTATCCTCCAACCCGACTTTATATATCTGAAAAATGTTAGATAGGGATGAACGTTTATCAATGACTACCAAGGTTTTAAAACAATGCATAATATAATTAAATCATGGATAAATGCAAGAATAGGGCAAAGAAATGAATCAAATAAATAAATAAATTCTAGCACATATCGATCATATAAATCCGTCAATTCTCTGGTTCACGCATGAATCACCTCCGAAGAAAAGCTTTGGAGTCTTGTACCCTAAAGAACCAATGCCCTTCTTGCTTTTCTGAGAACACTAATACTGGAAATTTTTGTGGTGCCACACAGGCTACCACGACAATCGATATTACTAACCTGTGAACCCAAGGACTAGTAGGAATCTTCGCAAGGATCACGGATCTACTAACCCTCTGCCCTTGATTATGTGCATTTATAGTAATTTCATCAACATCACAAAATAAAGTCGTATTGTAATGAGACCCCATAACAAATCAAACATTAAATATTGATAATAAAAAAATATTTATTATGCAACATGGTTTCGTAAGATAATTAGGGTCTCGATAAAAATACAACATGTGCATGATCAGGATTTATTTATAAAACCCCAGTTTGACCCCATGATTATAAAGATATAAATTTCATTATATAATTAAAAATAGATTTGATATGAAACCCCCAAATATGCATGAAATGCATCAATGATAGTAAAAGATAAATGAAACCCTACCCTTGTCTTGACTTCTATTCGATACCGTGTACTGTGACAAAACAACCAAAAAAATATTTCAGAACAACAATAGGTAATAAGGTTTAGTTAACCTAAAATAATTTTTGGAATAACTAACGAAAGATAATGATACTTAAATTTGATCCAAAAATATTTAGTGAGGATCAACTTTAAGTGACTCGAATATATAAAATTTACTAAATAATAACTAAAAAATTTTACCCAAAATTTTGATCGCAACCACAAACTCTTAGGTGAACAAAATTTTGACCCCTTTTCCCTCTTTCCTCTCTTTTTCCCTTCCTTTCTTCCTCTTTTCTCTCTTTTTCCTTGCTGTGCCGTTCAATGCACTGGGTTAGGCTATTTATAGCCAAGACTTGCTTGGTCCCCAAGTATGTTATGGACACTTGGCCATGTAATCTTTCTCCCCTTTTTTTTCTGACTTGCACATTTTCAAATCTAAAAAGATCTAGAATAGTATTTTATCCTTTCACAACACACACACATATATATATATATATATATATATATATATATATATATATGTTCATTCATTATATGATTACGAAATTTGACCTAAATTATAGTCATTTGACTTGT